CGCTGTGGGTCATCATACAGGATGGCCATAGCATCAAAAAAACTGTCAACCGAACTGAGGTGAGGGTCGTTTTTTTCCCCGTAATCGATGGGCCCAGTCTTGGGGTTCACCCTGCAGGAGGGAGATGACGAACCCCACCTTCACGGATTCAGTCACGAAGGTTCGGGGTTGTAGCTCAAAATAGAGGAGGCAGGACTTGCGGAATGATCTAAAACGTGTGCGGTCCCCGTGAAAACGTTCCGGTAAGGGTACTCGGGGGTCGGCCGCCGGGAGTGTGTGCGGATGCCCCAGACACCAGCACAGGGGCTGCTACAGCTGGGGACGTGGTGACCGCGGCCTGTGGGGCGGGAGCGGATATAGTGCAGGCCTGGAATTGAGTTTCAATCCGCTGACATCTATCCTGCAGGGCCGATACGGTCTGAGTCAAATTGGACAGGTGCCTGCAGATCTCCTCCAGCGGAGATGGACCTCCTCTAGACTCAGTCATGGCCTTCTGGTACTGTAAGGGACCGCCCGGCGGTACTACTAGCACTCCACTGAATAGGCGTCCCCAGCGCACGGAGTCTAAGTCCCAGGGTGCTTGTTCACCAGAGCCCCTGATGGTGGGGATGGACTTGGAGCTCCCTGAGACCAGGTCGTGGCTACTGGGTGCGCCCGTCAGTGGTAGCAGTATGCGCAAGGGGCTCCCACGGGGAAGAGTCTGATGTGAGGAGGTCAGAAGACCCCGCTGCACGGGATGGATGGATGGATGGATGAGCAAGGTCAGACGGGCCGGGTCGGTAACAGAGAGGGCGGCAAGGTACAAGGCAGCGGGCATAGAATGGTCGGGTCACACGCCAGGTCAGCAACAGCAGGTCAAATCCAATAGGGGGCATTCAGAAGAGAGGTCAGGCAAAGCAAGGGTCAGAATAGGAGAAACAGCAAGGTCAGGTACAATCCGGGTCAATAACTTACAGGGTACAGGTTCACAGGATTCAGGATGCAGGAAAGACCAGAAGGCACTGAATGACAGCTCAGGGTCGTTTAAATATCCCGCCCTGCGCTGGCATTGGTGCCCAGCGGGCGGCCGCGGCTTCTACTGCGCATGCGCGAACTCGAACGCCGCGGCCGGCCCGGAACCAGTGCTCGAGTCCCTGCGCCGGGCGGCATACTGCGCCTGCGCCGGGACCAACGCGGCGGGGATCGAGGGGATCCCTGACAATAGCACTTTTATCTGCATAAAGGTTTTTTTATAACCTGGTTATTTTATTGTTTAATAGGTGTGTGAGCACGATATGTAATTTTTAGACACTTGGTTCATTTATATAGAGTGTGAACACCTATGTCCAATATGGAATACAGTTATTTATTATAAGTTGACATTATTTATATATTCTTACTATCACTATAAGGTGTTTTTGATTGTAAAAAAATTTTTTTGATCATTTTTTACTTTATGAATTGGTCACTTATTTATATTCATTATTTATTTTGAGCGCTACACTATTTATTTATGTAATTTTACACTGTGTTAGGTATCAGTTGGTGAGTGTTGGCAGCTTAAGGCTAGTTTTTCTCCATTTATAGCGCAGGAGGACCTCTGATTACTTATTTAAAATCTTATTTTTGCCTTCCTCCACCTTTCATACAGTACTCTAAATCTTTTACACACCACCACATCCTCCAGTAATTGCACATTAACTTTCCACAAACCTCTAGGTACTACAGCACACCCCCCAACCTCCAAGTGGACCTAGACCAAAGAATGATCTGTAAATAGATCTGCCAGTAGCTCTCAACTTATAGGTTCTAAACCTTCTGATATTAAATAATGGTCGATCCTGGATTTTGCATTAGCACCCTTCCATGTATGTAAATCTATTAGAATCATCCCCTACCATTCTCCACACATCTTACAAATAAAGGTCTTCACAGATCTCATTCATTAGCTTAGATGACTTATCTAACACATGGTCCCCATTTCTATCCTTCCTCTGCAGAACACAGTTAAAATCTCCCATAAGAATAACTGGCTCTAAACCAATCAAATAAAATAACTTAATTTTTTTTCTAATAAATCATACCACTCATTCTTCCAAATAGAACTATATACCATATTTCGCTCTCCAAACGACGCACCTGACCATAAGACGCACCTAGGTTTTAGAGGTGAAAAACAAGAAAAAAAATATTCTGAACCAATGGACTGCAGACACAGTACAGGAGATGACCAGAGACTGCGAACACAGTACAGGAGATGACCAGAGACTGCGGACATAGTACAGATGACCAGAGACTGTGAACATAGTACAGGGAAAATGCCAGGGACTGCGGACATAGTACAGATGACCAGAGACTGCAGACAGTACAGGGGATGACCAAGAGAAGGCGGACCTTTGGGGAGGGAGGGGGAGCGGGTACCTGAAGTTGTCCTTTCTTTAGTGTGGGCATGCTGGCTTCTTCCCGCGCCGGCTTCTGTGACAGCCGGGTACCCACTGTGCATGCGCAAGAAGCGCTGCACTTTGTGATGGCCCGGCGCCTTCTGGGACCTGTCATATGTCCCAGAAGTCGCCAAACCATTCACAAAGCGCAGCACTTCTCGCGCATGAGCAGTGGGCACCCGGCTGTCACAGAAGCCGGCGCGGGAAGACTGCACAGCGCTGGACAGAGGAACAAGTAAGGTCTTGCAGGAGAGAAGAGCTGAGTGGCCAGCCCGGTATTCTGACTTGGTGGCGGCGGCGGAAATACCGGACCGGCTGCTCCATATTCGCTCCATAAGACGCACTGACATTTTCCCCCCTTATGTGGGGGGAAAAAACTGCGTCTTATGGAGCGAAAAATACGGTAAATTAAAAAATGTTATCTTCCCCAAAAAAGAAAATGTCACGAGCATTGCTCTGCTTGGCTCAATATGATCCACTGAAATGATTTCCATCTGGTTCGACTTCACCAGGATACCCACTCCAGAAATTTTGGTCCCATTCTCACCGGACCACAATGGAGGGCCAAAAAGTCCAGTCCTTCTCCAATTCTTCATAACATAAAGGAAAATTAACTCCAGCAACTCCAGCCAAAAGGCTGAGAAGCGATCAGAACCAAATCCAAGTACTCCAGGTGAAGAAAATGCTCTAGAGCAGATTTTTGGAAGTTGATTACCCAGCAAAAGCCTGGAGCATCTGAATTGTCCCATGGACATTTGCAGATAGCTGGAAGAGAGATGAGTTTTTTTTCAGGAGAAAAGTTGTCTAGATAACCTGTGACTTGGATATTTTATGTTCTGAGAGGTTAAAAAAAAGAGGTGCTAGGACCTTTGTGAATATACAGGGAAAAGAGTTTGGCCAAAAAAAGAAGTGCAATAAACTGGAAATGATTATCTACCACTGCAAAGTACAGAAACTGATGAGGTGAGGCAAAAGGTGACCATGCAGATTCCATGCTAAATTTTGAAATTTGAATGTATTTGTTCAGAATAGGATGAAGTGTCTCCCCAAAAAAATGTCTGCCTTCAAAGGGCATACATGCAAAGAGTCCTTTACAGGCATACAACATAGATTTGAATTTTTGGAAAAGGACATTATTACACATAAACAGAACAGGAGGGAGAACAGGTAGTGAATAATAATAAAGTGGATAAATCTATCCCTAACATGAACTGTAATTCAGAAGAGAGTTCCATTAGACAAGAAACAAACACAAAGCCATCCAACCCTATTAGGAGATGTGTTAAAAAACATTTTATGTCTCATAGAAATCAAAGTAAAATTAGAAACTCATCCCAGAATAGGCCCCTCCCTCTTTTACAGCCAAAATATATATATTCAATCTCAGTTCCCCTTAATTATACACAAGAATGCACTACTGAATAAAGGGTTAAAATTTTGTAGAATGAATACATTTCTCAGAGGAGAGTACATTTCATCACACATCTCAAACCAAAATCCTAGTTTTTCCCTACTCAAGAAATGAGCAACCGCATGCTTCCTTTCTAGGAGTTAGTGGTGAGAGATCTGAGGAAATTGTGGCACGGAGAGGCCATGCCACTGTGTGATAAGGCAATATGTGCCAGGTTTTGGAGAACACAGGCCCAATAATGGACAGGTGTGTGCTGTTATTTTAAGAAAGACAGTATTAGGAGTCAGTGCCCCACCCCCAAAGGGGTCAGTGGGTGTAAGAGAAACAAGAGGTACATGTGTGCACCATGCTGAGCATGGGACAGGCATAGAAGCCGAGTGACAGGGTCTCTCCTGCGGGTCAGAAGTGCCCAAACCAGAGGCCCGAGTCTGAGAGAAAGAAGCTGAGAGACAGGGTCTCTCCTGGGGGTAAGGGGTGCCTCAAACTAGAGGCCTGAGTCTGAGAGCTGGGAGCTGTAAAGGAAAGACACAGAGCTGAAGAGGTAAAGCGTTTGTGTACTAGCACTGGGGATGGGTGCTGGATGGTCTAGAAGACCAAGGCATGAGACTGGAGCAGCAGGTCTGATACAGAGTGCCAGAAGGCTTGAATGTTGTTTTGTCATATTGATGCTGAGAACCCCCTGCGTGGGAAGATGTTTTTGTGAGCTTTTTCTTTCCTTTAAATAAAAGTGGGCAGGAAAAGCCCTAAAATGTGCTTCTGGCGTGCAGTAAACTCACTGTATAAATGCATTTACCACAAGAGTTAACTGTTCCATGTCACAAAATCTAAAACTGAAAAACATATTTTATATAATTTGACTATACAGGAGAGAAAAGCAGTAAGCTCTTTGTGGAAAACACTAATATCATCAGCCCTGCAGACAAGGGAGGTGGAATCGCCTTGATGGACAAGACACAATATAAAACAGAGATACGTTAATTAGAAGATCAATTGACACATTTAACCGCCTCCCGCCCGCCATATAGTACAATGACGGGAGCAAGGCGGTTCTCTCATTCTGGGAGGACGTTCCGAGAGCGTGCAGTGCGGCGATCGGCGGTGCGCTGTCTCCCTTGGACAAAGAGGATCACCGATCAACGGAAAGAGCTGAAGATGTTGGCTCGGTCATGTGATCAGCTGTGTCCAATCACAGCTCATCACATGTAAACAGGGAAATGCAGGTTATCGGCATTTCTCTCCTCACAAGCTGTCACGCTGACAGCTCGTGAGGAGAGGACAGATGGTAATCGGCATTCCTCGGAGGGGACATGTACACAGATCATCAGAACACTGATGATCAGTGTGCCCTGATGTTCTGTGTAGCCCCAGAAGTGCCACCTGTCAGTGTCCATCAGTGGCAGCTGTCAGAAATCATCCATGCCACCTGCCAGTGCCCATCAGTGCCACATTTCAGTGCCTACCAGTGCACATCAATGCCACATATCAGTGCCCATCTAAGCTGCCTTTCAGTGTCACCCATCAATGCCAGTTAGTGCCACCTATCAGTGCCAGTCATTGCCGCCTATCAGTGCCAGTCAGTGCCGCCTATCAGTGTGCATCAGTGCCCATCAGTGCTGCCAATCAGTGCCGCCTAACAGTGCCAGTCAGTGCCGCCTATCAGTGCCATATATGAGTGCTAATATAAAAGATAGTGAGCGCTCTCTAAAAATGTCAGCAGCTAGAACACTATAGGCAACCACAATGCCTCAAAAATATATCAATATGACCTTAAAACAATGAAGTGCAGCGCTTAACCAGGTGAAAAAGTCAATAAATAGGTAACCACAGTGAGTGCTTAACCAAGTAAAAAAGTCAATAAATAGGTATCCGCAGTAAATCACTGCATAAATGCGAATTCCCACGGCCTCCACTCTGTCAAATAGTAGAAATGCGCACTCACCGGAAACGCATAGGTTATGCGCATGTGTGATTATGCATCACAGGCAATGGGAGCATCAGAGGTTAGGCAGCCAGGCATCTCCCTCATGGTGGGTCATCACAGACTCTTTGAATAGGTCCAGGGGTCCCCTTAAGGTCAGCCAGGTGTTGTAAAAGAATCTCCTCTCAGGATGGCAAAAGTGTTTTCTCTGTGGGAATGAAAGCTCCAATAGGAGCCCCAGAAAACAGATGCCAGAGATAGTGTAGTATGTCCAAAAATCAGTGCTTTATTGATATACGTAACAGGGCAGTAACAGGGCAGTATGCATATATATAATAATGTAATAACACAAATATGCAGCAGTACTGACCCTTAGTAGTGATGGCCGCCGGGCCTCCTCGTGGCTCTGGCGGTGGAATGACGTCACGCTCTGCACAGCTCCTCCTTAGGCCTTTCGTGCTATAGGCACATCATCAGAGGGGAGGCTGCACAGGAGCGTGACCGACGTCAGTGCTAAAAATAGGAAAATCGGCACATGCGCAGTTAGCCGCGGCCATTTTCCCGGAGAAAGCGTGTACTGCGCATGCGCGAGCACGGCAGCGCCATTTTGCCGTGGATCCGCGATCATACATAAAACGAGGAGGAGACACAGAAGTCTCATAACACAGAATCCAAGTTTTAACAACAATTTTACCAGATAAACCTGAAATTGTATTTCGGAAAGCAACTGCTGTTAGGCATATGATTGCACCAAATGTTGTTGACCCTCCTCAAAACACATCTCTGTTTAATGATCTGAAAGGGTTCCACCCCTGTAATAGGTGCATTATTTGTAAGTGCGATAATACAAGAAAAAGGAGAGTCGACACATTTCAATCATCTATCACGGGTAGAACTTATAATATTAAGCATTTTATCTCTTGTTACAGCAAATTTGTAGTGTATTTGCTGCAGTGTCCCTGTCGCAAACAATATATTGGCAGGACAACAAGACGTCTACGAGATCGACTACGTGAGCACGTCTCAAACATTAAGAAGGGGTTTAGGGAGCACTCATTATCAAATCATTACCGCCTTCACCATAATAATGACCCATCTTCATTAAAGTTTATTGGTATTGATGTGATCAATAACCATTGGAGGGGTATCAACAAAACAAGGGCAGTTTCCCAAGCCGAAACAAAATGGGTGTTTGAGCTCCAAACCTTACACCCTTTAGGCCATAATATTGAGGTAGACGTCAACTGCTTCATTGCTAACAGTTGATTGGTTTATGTTTTTTTCCCATTACTGCTTTATGAATTTTGAGCTTGTTTTTATCTGACATATATTGCTGAGTAATTTTATTCCCTGCATTAAGTTGCACCCTTAGCGTGCTTCTTCTCCATGTGTTTGATTATTTTTGAATTTTATTCGGACATTCATCCATCCTGACTGATTAATATTTATTGGTCCTAGTATTAATAATATTTTTCCTTCTGCCCCGTTTGACTTCCCATTATAGAAGACGGGTGGAGGAATGATCATGACGGCCTTGCATGGGCTAGTTTTAGGGTCTTTTTACCTCTTTTTATCCCCTTTTTGCTTTGTACATATTTATCATGTATATTTGGGATGTATATAATTATTACATTCACTCTGGTATGATCAGGTAGTATAATATTAAGTATGTTATTTACTGCCTAGATCTAATGCCTTATTTTTATTTCCATTGTTTTTATTCAAGCCTTTGCATGATTTTATCTTGTGATTTGTCATTCTTCATCTTGCCGTGGTCCATTATTACAATCATATGCCAGTCACTGAGGGGGATCTTTGTACCCCATACATTATGCGCACAGGTATTGCTACTTTAGTTGCACTGTCACTGTATTGAGGGAAATAGCGTTTGACATAAAGTCCCTGGGGTCTGTGGCATAGTCAGCAAACGGCACTGGGATTCTGTGTTATGAGACTTCTGTGTCTCCTCCTCGTTTTATGTATGATCGTGGATCCACGGCAAAATGGGCTGCCGTGCTCGCGCATGCGCAGTACACGCTTTCTCTCGGGGAAAAATGGCCGCGGCTAACTGCGCATGTGCCGATTTTCCTATTTTTAGCACTGACGTCGGTCACGCTCCTGTGCAGCCTCCCCTCTGATGATGTGCCTATAGCACGAAAGGCCTAAGGAGGAGCTGTGCAGAGCGTGACGTCATTCCACCGCCGGAGCCACGAGGAGGCCCGGCGGCCATCACTACTAAGGGTCAGTACTGCTGCATATTTGTGTTATTACATTATTATATATATGCATACTGCCCTGTTACTGCCCTGTTACGTATATCAATAAAGCACTGATTTTTGGACATACTACACTATCTCTGGCATCTGTTTTCTGGGGCTCCTATTGGAGCTTTCATTCCCACAGAGAAAACACTTTTGCCATCCTGAGAGGAGATTCTTTTACAACACCTGGCTGACCTTAAGGGGACCCCTGGACCTATTCAAAGAGTCTGTGATGACCCACCATGAGGGAGATGCCTGGCTGCCTAACCTCTGATGCTCCCATTGCCTGTGATGCATAATCACACATGCGCATAACCTATGCGTTTCCGGTGAGTGCGCATTTCTACTATTTGACAGAGTGGAGGCCGTGGGAATTCGCATTTATGCAGTGATTTACTGCGGATACCTATTTATTGACTTTTTTACTTGGTTAAGCACTCACTGTGGTTACCTATTTATTGACTTTTTCACCTGGTTAAGCGCTGCACTTCATTGTTTTAAGGTCATATTGATATATGAGTGCTGCCTTTCAGTGCCCATCAGTGATGCCTGTCAATGCCCATCAGTGCCACCTACCAGTGCCTCCTCATTAGTGCCCATCAGTGCCACCTACCAGTGCCTCCTCATTAGTGTCCATCAGTGCCACCTATCAGTGTTCATCAGTGCAGCCTATCAGTGCCCATCACTAAAGCCTCATTAGCGCACATCAGTGAAGGAGAAAAATCACTTTTTTTTTGGTTTAACCTCTTGCCGTCCGCCTGCTGTTTATAAACGGCAGGGCGGTGGCAGTCCAGGGGCAGGTTGCCGTTCCTAAACGGCACCCGCCTTTTCTAGCTGTGCGCGCTCCCTAGGAGCGCGCACCACCGCGATCCGGTGTCCGCTGTGTCCTCCGGACACAGTGAAACACCGATCGTCGGACGGGACCTCTGTACGAGGTCCCGGTCATGTGTTCACTGATTGGCGAATCAGTGATCACATGCAAAGTAGTAAGCAAGATGTCACTTGTGACATCATTGCTTACCACGTGTGAAATCTGTGAATGATCACAGAGGTCACATGGTACAAGGCTATTCACAACATCCTTGTACCATGTGACAAGCTGTGACCAATCACAGCTCACTCAGTATTTCTCAATGACTGCAAGAATGCAGACAGAGAGAAAGAGAAATGATTGCTTTTATATCCTATATGGGTATAAAAGCAATCAGTGTAAAAAAAAAAAAAAAAAAAATCTTCATCACCCCCCACAAGTAGTACAGTGTCACCATGGTGACACTGTATTGCTAGGGTGACAGTATGTAAAAAAAATAAATAAATAAAAAATAATAATATACAAAAAATAAAATAAAAATCTAAAAAAAAATGTTTAAAAATTATAATTTTTGGTTATAAACTAATTTGGATTTTTTTTTTTACTAAAAAAATAACGGAATAAATTTTGGCCAAGATTTAGGATGAAATATTGTTTATTTGCAAAATTTTATTAAAAAAAACACTTTTTTTCAAAATTTTTGGACTTTTTCATTTACATAGTAAAAAAAATAAAAATCCCAGCGGTGAATAAATGCCACCAAAATAAAGCTTTATCTGTCTCAAAAAAATGGTAAAAAATTCATATGGGTACAGTATTGCATGACCGCGCAATTGTCATTCAAAGTGTGATAGCGCTGAAAGCTGAAAATTGCCCTGGACAGGAAGGGGGTAAAAGTGTCCCGACAGGAAGTGGTTAAGAAAAAATAAAAAAACCCAGAGGTGATTAAATACCACCAAAATAAAGCTCTGTCACAAAAAAATGATAAAAATGTCATATGGGTACAGTGTTGTATGACCGCACAATTGTCATTCAAAATGTGACAGTGCTGAAAGCAGGAAATTGTCCTGGGCAGGAAGGGGGTATAAGTGCCCTGTAGGCTAGTGGTTAAGATTAAGGAATAATACGGGCCAACAATTTTTTGAGGAATTAAAGGAACTACTTAAGAAAAGCTTGAATCAAGGAATACTTATCTTAATATCTATGCATAAACAATCCCAGTACACCAGTCTTATTTTTTACCTAAAATTCACAAAGAACCAGTGAATCACTTGGGATGACCCACAATTACAGTTGTGTCCAAAATTATTCAACCCCCAATGCTGTAAAGGGGTTTAGGGACTATAGTGTACATTTGGAATTGTATTCAGAATCAAATCCTACAAGGACGTTGTAACTACCCAAATGCAACTAAAATGACATCAATTGTTTATGTAATACAGTAGTAAATGGTTCTTATGTGGTTTCTTCATTGCCACAATTATTCAACCCCTTAAAGACTACCACTCTGAAGAACAGAGGTTCATACAGGTGCTTTCCATCAGGTATTGAAAACACCTGTGGATGTCACCGAGCAGCAATCAAGCATAATAAGCACCAATTAGGCAGCTTTAAAATGACTGTGATACTCAGCTCCTTCTAGACATTTACTGGTGTGGTTACAAACATGGTG